TGCAAATATGACAATCCGAAAGAATAATGCTCCATTTTTACTGTTCTAGTTTTTGCTGAATTGATATCATTCATGCTGCTTGGGAGAAGCGTTACATATATAACATTTCATAGATAATCTCGTAACTGTCAAAATATTACATATTTTGTTATCAACCATAGTTAACAACAGTTTATAAGTGATAAGAATACTCTCATCCAAGATAGATGGTGTCAATAAATATATCTGATTTGAATGTCTTTTATGCAAGATTTGACTTTATTTTTTTCTCCTTTAACAAATTTAAATTGGATTGGTCTGTAAAAACGGGTAAAAGAAGGATAATTGCCATAATACTTCATTATTTGCAGAATTATAATTTTCTATTGTCACAAGACTGTTTATAAATACATTAGTATTATTTTTCAATGGATTGCTAAAATTTATTTTATAACGAGACTGGTCGAATGCTCCATCACAGCTCCATTTAGATATCATTATTAAGGCTCCTGGGTAGTCACCGCAGCCATATTAGATTCGTGACGTCAGAAGCGAGAAATGACACGCCGAGAATTCTTGCGTGTCATTTCTAAATAAAATGATAATTTAACAAAGTAACACTCTAGATCGCTTTAAGACACCTGTAAAATTGTCCGAAAACTATGCTTTTTCCTTGACAGGTTATAAACAATCGTTAAATCAACCGTGAAGCGAAGCCTAATTATGCGAGAAAACACACGGTTGACAGCTGTCTGTATGAGTAGAAAATACTCCTTCTACGTTTGGGCTTTCCCTGCTAATCTTAGTTTTCGGATAATTTTACAGGTTTCATGAACACGTCACATATCACAGCACTAACATTTAACGAATATTAACGAAATGGCACGCAAGAATAAATTGGGTAGTCAACATGTCATTTTTTCACGTCTAATAGTTCATCGATTCTCCACCTAAGACGCTGCATGAGAATTTCTGTCATATGGACATGTCGGTAACGGTACTAAGCTATATATATTCTGTATTTATCGCGTTTATTTTTTTGTAAACAAATTTTTGAATTATAAATTAGCATTTTGTATGTTATTCAGTAATTTACTTTTATCGTATCAATTGATTAGGTCAAACTGTTACACTATTTACTTATACAATAAATCGACTAGGTAAATTCGACTAGGTTTTTATTCCTACCACAATTATGTCGCCAATGTCAACGCGGAGTTCACGGCTACGGGACCAGGAGCCTTAAATTTTTTGAATTATTTGAATCAAAATTTCATAATTTTATGAATCTGAGAGCAGTGTGATTTAAGAAACTCTGCAATGATATTTTTACTTCATCATCAGATATTTCGATCAATTCGAGAAGACTCTCTTTTTTTACTTTCTGAATTTGAAAATAACTAGGCCATACAATAGATCCAAATTTCGTAACATTTCGTAAAATATTATATTGATATCGAGTTAATTTTGCAGAGACAAATGTAGCTAGTGCAGTCGTTTTATCAACTGATATAGTTTTATTCCTAATTTCTTTATAGAACTGTCTCACCTGTTTCACGTGTTCTGGGTTTTTGAATAAAATCATATATAAATTTCTCCATAATAAAATCGATCATTTCTGGGTTATTTCTTATTTCCTGAGTTCTTCTACGTTTATGTCTTTCGCCTAATTCTCCAAAAGATTTAGATGTATTTGGAAGTACATGAAATGAACTAGGAAACAAATTTAACATATTATCTGGGATCTTAAATTTCTTATCAACCACCCCTTATTAGCTTTAATAAATTTTGCATTGTCACGATTATTATATAACCATCTCGATTTCAAATGTTTCGTATAATGTGATACTTTATACTGCAATTCTTCAAACGCAATACGAGATAAATGAATTTTTTGATTATCCGTTATCAAACGCGTTAAATTTTTATAATCAAAAATATCTATATTATTTTCTCGCATAAAAACAATAGATCTCCATTTGTTTAAAAATTTTTCATGATTTTAAATAAATTAAATCTTTCGTAAATGACAAAAATTGAGGGGTTCGATTACAGGTAAAAATTTACGTATTCCACTAGCAGAGTGTGGAGACGGCTCTCTCTCTCAATTACTCCTGCAGCGGCCTGCAGGATATACATTATTATATGTACTATTTCATCGAATCTTGACATCGAGAATCGGAAAAAGCTCTGCAACATCTATTAACAGACGAAGATACAGCAAAACCGCTATATATCGTGTGCGACGTGATTCCGAACTCTGTTATAATGCCTTACCGTATTATTGTAACTTGCAACGCAATTTTTTCATAAACGGAATGAGAACAATTGGGGATTTCTGTAAACTAGACACTTTACACAATCGATTAATATATTGTATATATTGAACCGTTTTGGACCGTTAACTTATAAGAACTTTGAAAATAAAACTTTAATTTTGTTCAAAATGATTAAGGAAATTGATTATATATGTACTTATATATATTAGAAGACTAAGGACTTTTAACTAACGTAAATATTATTAATAAGGTTTGCTAAATAATTGCTAAAATACATTTTATATGGATTTCTTTCTATATATAACTCGCGATGTTTTAAAACTAGGCAACAAAATTATCAAAATTCTTTCATCTTCTTAGTACCAAATTTCATCATATGTTTTCTACAACAATAATAAGTAAAATAGATTTTTTTAAATATTAATGGATATATTGATTAGTCATCTAAATAAGAATAAATTTATTTTCAGAATTTAAAGACGTTTTCTTTCTCCTTCGAATGTCTGGTTTTTGATCGCATCGCCCCACTGTGTGGCGGTACTGTTACTTTCAAGTCTCATAACTCGAAATATACTTAACGAAAAAATACTTTATTATAGTGTTTTGAAAGCTCTCGAAATAAGCTACAAGAATATGCAATAAAAATGGGGGATTCCGTTTAAAAAATTCAACTTGACCTTTATATGACATTGGGGACTCCACCCAAAGTCAAACTCTCATCACCATTAGGTAGATTTTTTTAAGCCCTACAACTTTGCTCGTACATATTTTCGCTATAATTGATTGTTTTCGAGATATTTTAGTATTTCCGGACTTTTAGAAGATCCTATATACGTTAAGCGTTAAAACCTTACATTTTTTATTTCAAATTTTAGTTTTGAATTAAATTTTTATTTGATTGATCAATTCTCTAATCGACTAATAATTTATTAGAAATTTAGGAATAAATTATATTTATTCGAATAGCTTTAGATTTTTATCCAGTTATTATACGCTCATGTTCAAACATAATGCATTTGACCCAAAATTGCCTGTCGAAAGTAAGATACTAATAATATCGTGTTTATAGAAGACTTTTTATAGAATTGCATTTTTTTGTAAAAAATAGCATAGCATATAAAAAACGTAAGTAGTAAGACTATGGCAGTGAATAAATTAATTACAGTCATGCATTCTCGAGAAAATTTGACGATGATTGACTAATTTGTTTACTGCTTAAGTCTTATTTAAACTATTGCACATGCAATAGATATAAAATAAAAATAAAAAATGAGTACTGATGAAACTTTTACATGCCCTTATTTTTCTTGCAAAATATTATTTTGATGAAATAAAACTGTAAATTTTGTTTTTTTATGAAATCATAGAAAAATAATTATAAAACAGATCTTACATTAAATACTACCAAAAAATATTTTAATTAAGTTTTACATTCAATATTTCTAAAACAATCTTTTATTTAAAAAAAAAATAGATTACATAAATAGATTACATAAATAGATTCATGTTAAAATGTAAACATAACTTATGTTAAGATGTGTTAAAATGTATAAATTTATAATTATAATTATGAACTGTATAATTATGAGCTACTTTTTTATTATAGATATGTTGATGACATAATTTTAGCTGTTTCCTCTAATTCTATAGATGTTATTATTGGAATTTTTAACTCTTTTCATGACAGATTAAAATTTACTGTGGAAATTGGTGCTTTCAATCGCAGTTATTTTCTAGATGTCATTATGATATTAGAAGATGGAATGATTATCTCTAACTGGTTTCAGAAAACTACTTCTACAGGGAGATTCTTGAATTATTATTCTCACCATCCTGTCGCCCATAAGAGGGGTATAATATAAATACATATAATACATAAAAAGACGAATTCATCGCCATAGCATTATGTATCATTTTAATTATATGATCTTAAGATAATTCAATTAATAATTACAACATAATGAATCTATCATCGATACCTAAAGCAGTAAGACCTAAACGTAAACAAACATGACTGTATTAAGGAACATACAAGGTAACATACAGAGTCCTTTATGTATGTTTCAATTCTTCTTTACGTATTTCGATGACTACTATTCTATGTATTCGTGGATTATGTTGTAAGTATTAATTAAATTATCTTGAGATCTTTGAGATCGAATAATCAAAATGATACATAATGCTATATCAATGAATTCATCTTTTTATGTTTTACAAGAATATAGAAAGAAAAATGTATGGTTGCGTTAAAAAAAAAAAAATAATTTGACTTCGATTTTTTGTTAAAAAATAAACAAATTTGAAAATTTTCTTGCGTAAATAATTCTTTATTAAAAACCAACAAACTTAGAAACTTTTTGTTGTCAATTCATCGGAAGTATCTCAAAAACCGTGGCGACCGATTCGAGGAACACCCTGTATAATAGTACCTTTTAATTTTTGGTACGCAAAAAATCTTCCGCACTTGCTATTAATGTTTCATCACGTTTCATTATGTTTGCATAATAGCGGACGTAAGACAGCTACTCTTTATCATTACTTATCTCATTCAATAAATTTGATGATATTATATAGTATATTTCTGTGGTAAATTTCTGTATATTTCTATGATGATAAATAATATGATATTTAATGCAATATGTAGTTTTTATTCTTCATATAAACTAGTAAAATAGTATGTGTGTGTTTAAGTGTGCGCGTCACACACGTGACCTGTCAAAAGCGTGTCATAAATATATATACCAGTATGAGCGTAAGAAACGGGCACTTTCCAAATGCTGACGTGGCTGAACACGTTCGCGAGAAACTTGCCCAGGGCTAAAGGAACGATGAGCCGCAAATAGTAGCTCCACGTTATGTTGGACGAGTACCTCCTCACACCCCACAGATTAAAGAACGGACCAGAGTAGACGGTAATCGAGGTTAACTGGACCATGGTGACGGTGAGCGGATATGGAAAGTCCGATAACAGCATCTTGCCGACAACGTTGCTGCTGCTAGACACCACATACCACAGCAAACACAAGAATAACACCGTCACTACTTCGCGATTATTTCGACTATCGTCCATAATGTTCGTACGAGTACGACAAAGAGAGCGAGCGATGTCAAATCTCACTCCCAATTCTAACTCGTCGTCTTATTGCGCATGCACACTCGCGGCGTACGTAATATATAAATAATATTCAACTGGATTTTTTCCACATTTGCGCACGTCGTGGTCCTCCGTAATCCTCTGACAATGAGTGAATCCAAAGAGGATTAGATAGAGTGGAAAGTCCTATAAGAGCGCAATGTATTTTTTCGTATATAGAAAGTTTGTTCGTGTTGCATGTCCCAACATGTCCCAATCTATAGTATACGTAACGTAATACTGTAGATTGAAGCATATTGGGGCATGCGACACGAACAAACCTAGAGTCCCTATAGATATAGTCTGGCCACGTGCGTGTTCCTCCTTATTGATCGAAACAAAATTTGGAAAAACATAGCGGAACCAATAGAAATTGTTATGGGAAACATAATAATTTGAAAAAGAATAAAATAAAAAAATTTATAACAATTAATATTATTCTTTTTTTAGAAATTTTTAAATTAAAAAATAAAGAAAAACTAACTAACTAATAATACCCAAAATAATATAACAATACTTAAATATTCTATATTACATTAACATAGTAAATAAAACTCATTATAAATAAAACTCACATTAATAACACATAAATAAAACTCTCTATAAACATTTTGTAATATTACTTAATTATAAAATGCATAACCATTGTTTTACTATTGTGTATTGGTTTTACTCGGTATTTTGTACATACAATTTTTATTCTATATGCAATAAATTGTCTCATAATTTTTAAACTTAATTGATAACAATTTTGAAGGTTTGCACAAAAAACATCTTTAATTTTTTTCATAAAAAAGCTAATTAAATTAAATTTAACATTATTTAAATGAGGCAAATATTGCCGAATAATAAATTCCATAGTTATAAAATATTCAAAAACATCTGTGGTTACAAAAAATAATATTATTTCAAAAACATTTTAAGTAAATAAATTTTGCATATTTAATATTTGCATTATATTCAGTTGAGCCTGCAGAATTTAAACAAATTGCACATATTGCATTTTTTCCTGTACCAATATTGTGAACTATATAACCAGCTATATTATATATATAATATATTTAATTCTTTGTTATTAAAATATATATGTTTTGAAAAAATGTTAATAGGAATATTCAAAAACTGTTCAACAACTTTTTTTCGGTTTACTCAAAAAACTCTAAAATTGTCTATCATCTTAATCATAATTGGAATATTTTGATAGTTGAATATAGCGAGATATAGAAAATTCTTTCAAGTCTTGCTTGAATTGTAAAGCATTAGGTATTTCATGTTTTGTTCTTATTCCTGAAAATGAATTTTCTATATAATCCTGCGTGAACCGACTTGTTAAAACATACACATAGCCTTTTTCATTTACCAAATATTTTGTTAACTTGATAACAGATTTTGTAGTAATTATGATACTATATTGGATGGATTTGAACTTGTGATTCTGGCCTGTTGCAATATTTCTGAAAAGTTCTATAATTGACTCAAGAAACTCAATACTTTCATTATATGTGTTTTCACTTTTTTTATTGCCTGACGTTTTACCCAATGCTACTCGTTGAGATCGTGACGTTACCAAGTGTGAACCAAGTTTGAAACAATTTGTATAAATGATGCTTTTGTATTATATTCTATTTTGCATTTTTCTTCAGAAATATGAGTGCGCTGCTAACATACATGCCCATGACATTTTTCGTTGTATTAACTTTCATTTTGTTACATTTATTGGGAATAATATCACTGTGTCGAAGTTTAGGAGCTAATTTGAAGGATAAATTCTCCTGTAGTTCAATTAATTCACTTAAATGCTTGCATTTTAGAACGTAGAAAAAGATATTTATGTACATGCACAAATGTCTGCACAAATGTGTGCATCAGCGCAAAAAATTATTTTTGTTTATTGTCTACGTAATGATATATAGAATTATGAATTATATATGTCATTACGTAAAGATAATTTTCGTAGAGATAATTAATAAAGAAAATTTTCTACCTGAAATGTTTCCAAATGCTTTCTACATGGCTTGATTTACCAGTCCTACGTTAGAAGTTATAGTATGTACATATAGACCGATGGATTCTGCTTTTTTAATTATTATTTCTATTGTAACTTTTAAAGTAGCACCGTTAAATCCATTGGGCGTGTAGTAATAGGCAACAACTTGTTTTCACGATGAAAAAATATCAGCAAGCATAATAACGAAAGCGTGCGTTGTTTTTTGTATTTGTCCTGTAAAAGAAAGCATAATTTTTCTACAATTACAAATACAACCCTAACAGCACATGTAGATACTGAGAACAATCTGAGAATATCGCAAAAGTATAATTGTAATATTCTCAGAACATTCTCAAATGTACTGCGATGTACGTAGTACGTTCTAGGAATCATCGTATGTCCGCGGTATCATCTTCCATAGAATTTCGCAGGAAGGTCTATAGTTTAAAGACAGTATCAAGATAGGATAAAAATGGGAATGGTGCAGTAGATCACATATACATGCACACATTTACACAGCCAAGCGCTGAAACGCGCACGTGTTCATATATTGTATAGGATAATTTAGATTAGGTTAATTAATCAGTCAATTTTGTATTAATTGATATTTTTATTTCGAAATTACGACCGTAAGCGTAAAAATATTTACATAAAACTTACAATATAAAATAAAGTTCTAGAAGCCTAAGCTAGAGAACTTCAAAGGAACAATACTGCGAACTGAAAACAGTTTTATGTTAAATCATCTTTTTAAGACATTGTTTAAAAAATAATTAAGAAAATGTATTGTATATTTAACCAAGAACCAAAGAGATGAGAGGCAATTATAATGCAAGTTTACGAACATAACCTTAAAATATTTTAAGCAAAATAATTTAACAAGTACATAAAAAAAAATAAAAATATTATAAAAATCATATACAAACACTGGCTGCGTTCCGTAAAGCACATATGCACGCATGTATCTATAGTATACGTAACGTATACTGTAGATACATGCGCGCATATGCTCTTTACGGAACGCAGCCACTATCTAGCTCTTAAAGCCGGAGCACAGACTTTTACATAAAGCATAACGCATAAGCATAAGGAAATTGATTGGTCTATATATAAAGCCGAGAGCACAAGCTTTTACATAAAGCATAACGCATAAGCATAAGGAATTGATTGGTC